AACTTCTGACATTCAAAGAACCACAGAACCTAAGATTACGAGTATATATTCACGCTATTGGGCTACCTAAATATTAAATTTGAGTTCAAGTTTATGATTTATAAACCCAAATACTTTGTAAGATAATCGAGTTTCTAATACTCATTAGCCAAGAAGACTTCAGTTCCGCTTTTACTTGTTTATAGATTGTATGAGTAGCGAAACTTACTCAATTAACTTCAGTATTAGAACTAGGTCAACTCTAATTAGCATTTCCGCTTCGTTACTTCATAATAATTATGTTGTGATCCTGTAAGCTTAAGTGAATTACGCGATATATTTCACATAAATAATTTCGATTAATAATCCACATTATAATTGAGTAATTAGGATAAACCCTAAAACTGCTATTGCTGGTAAATTATTCAAATTGTATAAAACAAATATAACCTTTCGGATAGATATTTAGTGAAATAAAGTCAGGCTGTCCACTAAATATCACTATAATTTATCCGTCGAATTATGTAGTTAAAGCACAAGAAGAAGCACAGTTAAAGATGAAAGATTACAAAAAGAAAGTAAGTAAAAGAAAGATATAGTATTTATTCTTCTTATAACATTTAGCTAGCCATAGCTGTAGTTTATAAAAGAATAAAATTTTCCAAAACTTATAAAAAATGTATTGAAAGTCCATCGATATTGTATTCGAATGCATATATCTGTCTAAAACACCGAATCTTACAAATAGCGGGGATAAGTTGATATACCGTTAGCAAATTTATGAAATTTGGTCGAATAATACCTTCAAATCCAAATCTAATTTTTACCCAATCGTGAAACTTGTGGAGTAATCGAGGAGCAAGGGAATTATCTATGAGGGCATACATGGTATACGAATATGATATGGGTATTGCACAAGACATTCTACATAATATTGAATTGTGCGTATATGTAGCGTATAGATTTTAAGTTTGTTCTGATACTATGAAGTATGTTTGATTTAATACATAGCATAGATTTTGATTGTGACATGAATGCTGCTCTCTCAATTCAAGAAGTGAATTGAGGACCAATATTTAAAAATTTATCACCAAGCAGCAATAATCAAGGATAACGACACAAACATTCCCGGTTGCCCATTAAAGTATACACTGTAGCTCCAAATAGAAATTCCCGATCTTAATTTTATTCCAGATTCGGTCCCAACTGAACCCGTAATGATGAATATTATAAAAACAGCGGAATTAGAAAAGTTTTCTTATAAGCTAGCAGAGTCGAATGGTTTTGAAGCAATACGCTTTGCTACTAGAACATGTCTAGTTAAAGGTTAGCAAGTTAAAGTAATATAATATCAATTTGTACGTGGTAGAGCCACGATGCAGCTGTATTAGTAGTATATTTTTAGCACAAATGGATCGACTCGACCGGGGAAGGACCACGCTCTCACAGAATATCAGCGTGTAATAATAGCTTAACCCTGCTCTGTTTCATATGGTGAGTGTAGACATTTTACTGCAAACGAGGTATTCCATCTTATTCCTCAGAGGTGACCATGCAATGGCATTTTGATTCGTAATCGAGTTTAGATGTAAATGTCACAGCAATTATAAATTTACTATATACTACACTATACTAATAATAGAATTTATTTGTAGTTATTGGTACGTGCAGCTAAACGCCGATATTTCCATAACTGTATTAATAACTCTTCTCCAGTTTTAGTATGGAAATTCCTAAAATCTTTCGGTCTTTGTAGACCAGTTACGTTGGATTGTGGTCATTCTCTGTCACTTGATAAAATCAACAAACATTTCGATTCTGTAAAAGCACTGGAACCTACAATTCGTTCCCAAACTATGGCTTTCATTGCTTCTATGCAAATTCCTAACATTCCTACCTTTAATTTTTCTCCTGTTTCTCAGGATGATGTCAAAAAGTCGATTTTAGCAATCCAGTCCAAGGCCGTGGGTTACGACGAGATTAGTAGACATATGGTAGTATTTATACTAGAGCACCTTCTCGCGGCAATTTCCTATATAATCAATTTTTCCCTTGGTTCAGGTCAGTATCCTAATCTTTGGAAGAGGGCTTTTGTAAGCCTCTCCAAAAAGTTCCTACTCCCATTCTTCCCAATCATTTTCGCCCAATATCCATTCTACACTTTCTTTCCAAAATTTTAGAATCCTGTGTTTACAAGCAAATTTCTACTTTTATTTTGAAACATAACCTACTGAGTATATATATAGTCTGGGTTTCGTCCTGGTCATAGTACCACTACTGCATTAATTAATGTTATTGATAATATTAAACAAGGCACGGAAGAAAAAAATAACAGTACTGGTACTAGTTGATTTCTCAAATGCTTTCAACACAGTTGATCATGAAATCCTTCTTTCCATACTGTCTCATCTGAATTTTGGACCTACTGAATTGGATTGGTTTGCATCTTGTCTTCGCGGTCGACAGCTGTCAGTCAATGTGGGGCAACTGTCCTCAACTTGGGCTGATGTGGTTGCTGGTGTGCCGCAAGGCGGTATTCTTTCTCCTATAATGTTTTCAATTTTTATAAACTTTATTACCTCCTAATTATTAACTATTATTTAGAATGAGGAAAGAGTGACAAAGCAAATTTATATGGCAGATGTGAACGGCCGAGTCGGGAGGGGACGCCCTAGAAAAAGTTTATCAACCAAATTGGCGATATTTTGAAAATGGGCCACATTAGAACCCTTAACCGACGAGCATGTATGCGTAGATATATGGACGTAAAGGAAGCGAAAGAGTTATGTCAGGATCGTACCAAATGGAAGTCCCTAGTCTCTACCTACCGCTCTGGGTGTCAGGCGTGAGTGTTTATAATAATTTATAATTTATTACCTACATCATCGACTGCTCGTACCATTTGTATGCCGATGACCTTCAGCTATACGTGCAAACTGAGATTGGGGATATCCATAATAGGATCAATAACCTTAACGGCAACTTAGCAGCTATCAAGAATTGGTCTACTCATTATGGAGTTTTTGTCAATCCTTTGAAATGCCAAGCTATACTGGTGGGTAGTTCAAGGATGCTGGCTAAGATTAATCTGACAGACTTACCTCCTATTTACTATGATAATACTACAATTCCGTTCAGTAACTCTGTTAGAAATCTTGGCCTTCACATCGACAGTACGCTGAATTGGAGAACTCAAGTTTCAGATGTGAGTCGTAAATTCACTACCACATTATGCTCTCTGTACCTCTTAAAATATTTTCTTCCCACAAAATCTATGATAATGCATGTCCATTCACTTATATTACCCATAATTGATTATGCAGATGTGTATTACCCAAACCTCTCCCAAGATCTTCTGAACAAGCTGGAATGCCTCCTCAATAACTGTATAAGATTTATCTTTGGGCTTCGTAAGTATGACCATATTTCGCAATACAGATCTAAGCTAAATTGGCTTACAATCCGGCAGAGGTGCAACTCCAGAATATTACTTGTACTTTTTTCCATATTAAATGATCCATCTTCGCCTTCTTATCTTAAGAGTAAATTTCATTAGCTATCCTCATCTCATGATAGGGTCCTACGCTCTTCTTCTAACAACAAAATCTGTACTCCAGTTCACTTCACCGAGTTCTATGGTAACTCCTTCATAGTTCAGGCTACACGCCTTTGGAACTCCTTGCCCGATGACATCAGAAAAGCTCCCAATAAGTACGCTTTTAAAAAGTTGGTCAATCATTTATTAAAGACAACGCATTTTACATGACTCATCTAATATGTATTGCCAAACAGACGTATATATTCATAGTCATTTGTATATACTAATTATGTATGTATTTAAATATGTATACTTGTATGTATATCCATTTATTTATATATTTGTATTTATGTAAGGATAGATCATATTATATGTATAGTTTATTTATTAGTAGTTTGTATATATTATGTAGTTAATTATCATTTGTATTGTGTTCTCTTATTCTATATTGCCACACCTACGTCAAATTCTCACCACTCCATGGGTTGACTGGTAGAGAATGCCTCAAGGCATTAAGTCCGCCCTTTGTATTCTTTTGTTTAAGGATGCAATAAAGAATAAAATATATAAATAAAATTTTATACAGTGTATAAAATTGTTATTAGACAAAATACATGGCAATGACTTAAAAAAGTATATTTGCTTACATTTTATAAAAAAAATATAATAAAAAACTGTCTTTTGTACTCACTTATTTTTTTAAATTTGTAGTTGCCTCTTAAACTCACGCGGCGAAGGAAATAGACTAAATTGAATAGAGGAAATAGAGATAGAAGTATATGAAGTAAACGGGATGCTTAGGTAAAGACGTAAACTCGCCATTTCGCCGGGAGTTCGGTTCGGTACGCCGTAGTGAACAGTCGTGTCCTTGCAAGTTGCGCATCTAAGACCAGTGTTATAGACCCCTGCCTTACGAGTAATATACGCTCATATCGTGTCTACGGTCGCTGGTCATCGTTGCCGCGGATTGTCCAACGTCATTGATCTCACGCTTATGGACTTTAACGTGACAACTCGGTGTCTCGTACGATTGGTTTTATGTTTTTATTGTGTTTGAGCACAGTGTTGAGCTGTTGAGTGACGTTTTAGCCAGTGTACCTACATCATTATGTCCAAGACTCTGCGTACACCGCCCACTACACCGACTACGTTAATGCAATCCCAATCAGATCCAAATATTGCTGTGATGAGCAATACGGCTAAGGAGAACATTAATGTGAATCCACGTAATAAGCGGCCAAGGAGTGAAGCTTCCCCCCATCAATGAATTACAAAATTTTAAGGAAGAACTAAAACGAGAAATCGAAGCTATGTTCGCCTCTTGGAACGTACATTATCTGAAAAAATAGAACAACAACAGTCTACCATTTTGAACAAATTGGTGTCCGAGCTAAATGAGCTGAAAACACAAAACTCTGAATTGAAGAAATCCTTCTTTGAGGTAGAAAAATCGGTAAAATTCGTTAGTGCACAATATGATGATATGTCAAAAAAGGTCCTCGACCTGGAAAAGGGAAATTCTTACCTAACGGAGAAAGTCAAGGCACTTGAAAATACCACCAAAGATCAACAATTTTGTTCCCGTAGCTCCACTATAGAGATCAGAAATATCCCCATTAAAGACAATGAAACACTTGACGACCTAGTATCTGTCGTTACTGGAATTGGAAAAATAATCGACGAAAATATAACTCGTGCAGACCTCAGGGATTTGCGACGGGTGCCCGGAAAACAGGGTGTGCCAAAACCAATTCTGGCTGAATTCACAAATGTCAACGTTAAGCGAAGCTTTATATCCAACACGAGGAATTTCAACAAAAAGTCCAAGAACAAACACGACAAACTGAATACAGAATTGATAGGTATCTCGGGGACGCGTATGCCCATATATGTATCTGAGTTCCTGCCATTACAAATGAAGAAACTTCTCTTCCGTACACAAGAATTCGCAAAAGCCAACGGGTACAAATATTACTGGACTTCAAACGGAATCGTTTACCTTGGGAAAAAAGAGGGAGACAAGCAAATTATAGTAAAATCAGAACAAACCCTGATAGATCTGCAGAAAACCGTATGACTAAACCAAGTTTATTTTTGTAATTTTGCTGTATTATACCTAAACTGTTGTTTAAATCATCATTTATTTAATGTCTTCCTTGTGAGTTTCTCAATTTATATTTATAACCTAAATACCATATACATAAATCCATTACAATCCAATACAATATTCTTACACTCGCTCTCACAATCACAATTACATCTTCTTACACACACACTCGCACTCAATCATAAGCACCACATAACATACTCATATGATCCATTATTTATAACTGAGATATTTTTAAAGCCTACTACTACCTATATAATGCATGTTAAAGAGCTCAAAACTATATGTTTCCCATGCTCAATAGTCCAAAACTTTTCATAAATGGCTAATGATATTCTAAATAATGAAATAGAAGATATATCTATCTCACAAGCTATTAAATGTGAACCGCTGAATTGCCAAAAGTACATAAATAACAATTCAAAATCTTTGTCTCTTCTGCATGTCAACATTAGAAGCATAAATAAAAATTTTAACGAATTCCGTTTGCTATTATATGCTCTAAATATCACCTGCGATATTTTGATTCTTTCTGAATGCTGGTTGTCTAAAATATCTACCATACCGCAGCTTGAGGGCTATTTATCATATAGCACGAAATCCATCTGCAACCAGAACGATGGGTTGGTGATCTACATTAAGAATTTCATTACACACACAGTATATCAACCTAACTTTAATGACGCAAGCTGTCTAATCTGCACAGTAAACAAAAGTGTAGCTATAGTAGGTTTATATAGATCACCTTCCTTTCGAAACACCGATAATTTTATGGACAGCCTGAATACTACGTCAATTAATTTATCAGCAATAAATAATATCATTATAATAGGCGACATTAACATAGATATTAAAGTAAATAATTGCGACCCAAACTCAAATGATTATTTAAATCTTATGGCTTCTCATGGAATGTTACCAGCACATCAGATTCCGACCAGATTGGATAACTGTTTAGACCACGTCATTTTAAAAACAAGGCTTCGATTCTTACCTCTTGTGATAGAAACATCTTTAACTGATTATTTTCCAGTCCTCTTAAATTTAAATTTTAATCTAAGTCCTGTTAACCGTCCAACAAGCCGAACTGGCAATAAAATCAATTTTCCTCAAGTGGCACATGAAACAAATAACACAGACTTTTCTATAATTTTTTCGTTCGACGACGTTAATAAGGCGACCGATCTGTTCCTAGACACGTTAATCCCTATAGTGAAAAGAAATACCATTTGTTTTACAATTCCATGCAGACAACGAACAATAAAGCCCTGGATAACTGTAGGAGTATTGAGGTGCATTATAAACAGAGACCGCATGCATAAAAATGTCAAACGTAACCCAAATAACGTGATACTGGAAAAAACTTACAAACGCTACAGGAATTTTTGTACTAATCTTGTAAAAAATCTCAAGAGAGACTACGAGAGATCTGAACTTTCCAAGGCTAAGAAAAGTCCTAAAAAAACCTGGGAAATTATTAAAAACGTTACAAATACAAATAAAGTAAGTGTACCACCATTAGAACTTTTAAATTTGTGCGATGATGCTAAAATATCAGTTGATGCCGTAAATTCATTCTTTGCAAATATAGGGAAAGAACTTGCAAATAAAATTAAATTAAATTTAGAATCTATTGACTCACCACCTAACTTCTTGCACTCTCCTTCACATTCTATGGTCATCCTCGAAATCGATGAAGATGAAGTACATGATGCTATTATGAGCCTAAGAAATGACAGTGCTGTGGGATGGCATACCAGCCCAAATTTTTAAATCAAACCCAGTTCTTACACCTATAATTACTCACCTATGTAACTTGGTGATATCCACTGGGAAGTTTCCTGTCGCCCTGAAAAGGGCAATTGTACATCCCATCTATAAAAGTGGGGACAGACGCAATGTCACAAATTACCGCCCAATTTCTGTCCTGCCCGCTCTGTCTAAAGTATTTGAGCGTATCCTAAATCGCTATCTGGTTCGCTTTCTTGAATCAAATAGCTTAATCTCCAAAATCAATTTGGCTTTAGAAGGGGCAGGTCTACCCAGGATGCTGTTGATTCCCTGGTAGAGCATGTAGTCACCGAACTCGACGAAGGCAGGAATTGTCTGGGTATTTTCCTGGACCTTTCTAAGGCTTTCGATACTGTCTCTGTCCCAATACTGTTAAATAAGTTGGAAATGCTGGGTATCAGGGGTCGTATCCTGGAAATATTTGCTGATTACTTATCAGGTCGGACGCAGTGCACAAAGATAGGCTCTTTTGTCAGCAAACCCGAAGCCCTTGAATTTGGAGTTCCTCGGGGTAGCATTTTAGGTCCCACGTTATTCCTGACCTACGTAAATGAGCTCTGTGACTTACCTCTATCTGATTGCCGTATTGTTACTTATGCTGATGACACGGTCCTTGTTGTTTCTGGGAATAACTGGTCCGATACAATTAAGATGGCAGAGAATAGTTTTAAAATGGTTATGACGTGGCTAAATCGTAATTTTCTAACCTTAAATATAGATAAGACTAAATTAATAACCTTTTCTATAAGACCCTCTGCACAACCACCAAGCGAGTGCTTCGATATGCGTGCTCATAATTGTTCCAGTGGGACTTTTCATTGTAATTGCCCAAAATTGCAAAGAACCCATACCATTAAATACTTGGGTATTCAAGTGGATAATTGTTTGAACTGGTATAGTCAAGTAGAATCCGTTGCAGGTCGGTTACGTAACCTAATCTACATCTTTAAAACATTACGTAGTTCCGCTGATGCAGATATCCTGTCATCTGTGTACACCGCCCTGTGTGAGTCAATCATATCATATTGTATCCCGATATGGGGTTGTGCCTCTAAGACTACCTTCATTAAAGTTGAGCGCGCACAGAGGGCAGTGTTAAAGGTTATGCATAGGCGGCCTTGGAGATACCCGACCGCACAACTTTATAAGGATTGTAATGTACCTACAGTTAGGCAACTTTACATCCTTCGCTCAATTTTGCATCTACACTCTACTGTACCTCCAAATAGTTCTTTCACGCCTAGGAGACGTCAAAAAGCAGCATGTCCTGTCAAAACATGTAGGACTTCTTTTGCTAAAAAGCAATTATCCTCGTCAAGCTCGCGGTTATACAATAAACTCGATAAAACGTTAAAGATAAATAAGTTGAACGCCTACGAAGTTAAAAAAAAAGGTAATTTCGTACCTTAATGAATTAGATTACAGTGCCACTGAAGCTTTAATATCCTAAACCCTACAAACTGTATACATACACATGCACACACACGCACACGCGCGCGCGCCACACACACACACACACACACACACACACACACACACACACACACACACACACACATATATACACACTACCCATGCCATACATTATCATAACTATACTGTTTTACTTTTTATTTTATTTTTTATTTTAATTTTTTTTTTTTGTATTTTCTTTTTCCTTAACTGCCTGCTCTTCAAATGCTCGTAATAATGTAATCATCAATTAAATCAACTCGATATGCTGTTATATAGAATACGTTTTAAGGAGCCGAACCACTGACTTTCATAACACAGGTTATCCTAGCATGAAAGTCAGGGGATCAACTTATCTATAAGTCCCTTATGCTAGCCATTTTGTCACAATTAATCTGCGATAACATTGTCTTATGTTTAAGGCTTTATTTCTCAATAAATTATTATTATTATTTTAAGTAAATTATTTTGATTCAGAGAAGCGTTATTTTAGTAACAAAACCAAATCCAATAAAATTTTAGTTATATAATACTTATAAATAATGATTAAAACTACTTTTACGGATTTTATCGCGTTTATTTTTTACTTTTTATTTTTAATTCCCGACGTTTCGGGCGCTTTCCAGCACCCATGGTCACGGGGGACTGAGATGACTGACGTCCCGATGTCATTGTTAAACCCGGAGTACCTTCAGCTTTTTTAATTATTGTTTATGGTCCGATCTATGCAAAATGAACTGACTATGTCCTGAGGTCTTGCAGTGGTATGCTTGGGTTTAGTTTTAATTTTATTGATTATAGGATCCCAAGCAGGTGGTAGTACCCAGCCTCCTTCTCTATTGAAATTAGGATGTTTTTTAATTTCAATAGCCTCACGTATCATCCTTGGTAGGAATCGGTGTTCTTTCGCGAGGATTTGTGGTCTATCAAATCTGATGTAATGGTTGGGGCCGTCTAGGATATGATCACAAACTGCAGACTTCCCGGAACGTTGATGCTTCACATCAGCTATATGTTCTTTTACGCGGGTCCTAATTGATCTTTTGGTTTGTCCTATATAAGAGAGACCACATTCACAATCAAGCTTGTACACTCCTGCATCTTGTAGAGGAATATGACACTTGACGGATGGTAGGAACTGACTAATCTTCTTCGGCGGCTTGTAGAATGTTCTAATAGAAGCTCGCTTCAAGATATAGCCAATCTTGTCTGTGACACCTCTGACATATGGTAGTACAGCAGGCACACGCTCGACTGTGGCCGGCTTCACTCGGTCACTGTGACGTAGGCGCGGGACCCGAAGCTTGTTGTCGTGCAGAACTTGCTTGACGTGCTGAAGCTCGGCGGCCAGGTGTTTGCTGTCACAGATCCCTCGTGCTCGCTGTAACAAAGATTTGCCCACGGTAGCTAACTGTGAAGGATGGTGGTGAGATTCACCGTTTAAATATCGGTTTGTATGGGTCTTTTTCCTATACACAGTGTGACCAATGGTGTTATTAGGATTTCGGATGACTAACACATCTAGGAAAGGTAAGGAATTATTTGCCTCTAACTCCATAGTAAATTGAATTTTAGCGTTTATGGAATTAAGATGTTCTAAAAATGCAGTTACTTTGTCTGATGGTAAAATTGTGAAAGTATCGTCTACGTACCGCTTGTAGATCCTTGGTGTAACAGGTGCAGTAAGGAGGGCTTTCTCCTCAAAGTCTTCCATGAATATATCGGCG